GAAGACCTTCCTCTGGAGCCTCAGTAAATTTACTTAATCTAATGGGTCTAGGTGCCAGGGTGATTACCCTTCTCTTGCCTCCCTTTAAATCACAGAGGTTTGGGGAGTTCTTTCAGACCCCCAGTCAACTTGGCTGTGGAGGCCTGGGGAGTTGCTTCAGACCCACAATAAAACTGGTTTAATCCTAAATGGGTCCTGTTAAGAATTCCTTTGTTATAGGCTGGGCATGGTGGCTCACGCCTATAATCCCAGCACTTTGGGAGGCTGAGGCAGGCAGATCACGACATCAGGAGACTGAAACCAGCCTGGCCAACATGGTGAAACCCTGTCTCTACTAAAAATACAAAAATTAGCTGGGCATGGTGGTGCGCACCTGTAATTCCAGCTACTCAGGAGGCTGAGGCAGGAGAATTGCTTGAACCCTGGAGCAAAGGTTGCAGTGAGCCAAGATCGTGCCTTGGAAAGACCTAGGTAAAACTCTTGATGGGCTTTTGTTACATCCCAGCCTTTGTATAAGGGCACTGGGTTTTAATATGTAACCGCTCAGTCATTATTGAAACAGTTGTTTCAATATGGAGATCTGCATTAGTGAGACCTGGCCTGCTATCAGAGGTTGCAGTGAGCTGTGATGGTGCCACAGTACTCTAGCCTGGGTGACAGAATGAGACTCTGTCTCAAAAAAGAAAAATGATACCGAAAGATTTGCTTGACACAGGGTGGCCACAGACTTTCAATTTGTAAAAAACATAGTATCTGCGAAGTACAATAAAGTGTAGTGCAATAAAATAAGATATGCTTGCATAGAAAAACATCATGTTGTACCTAGTAAACAGATATAACTTTTTTTTTTTTTTGAGATGGAGTTTCACTCTTGTTACCCAGGCTGGAGTGCAATGGCGCGATCTTGGCTCACCGCAACCTCCACCTCCTGGGTTCAGGCAATTCTCCCGCCTCAGCCTCCTGAGTAGCTGGGACTACAGGCACGCGCCACCATGCCCAGCTAATTTTTTGTATTTTTAGTAGAGACGGGGTTTCACCATGTTGACCAGGATGGTCTCGATCTCTTGACCTCGTGATCCACCCGCCTCGGCCTCCCAAAGTGCTGGGATTACAGGTGTGAGCCACCGCTCCCGGCTATATACAACTTTTATTTGTGAATTATACCTCAATTAAGCTGGACAAATGAACTGTATTTGCAACATGGTAGGAATATGATATTCGACACTGATGCAAATGAAATTGTCATTGCCTTGGTGAAAATGTTATACTACTTAACAAACAAAAAAATGTAGTGTAAAATGAAGGAAAATGTGAAAATCCCTACAAATGCTTGTCCAAAAGAGCAGTCTTTTGAGTTCCTCAAAAAGGTTCTCTCTTTGAATGCTGGGCGTGGTGGTTCACGCCTGTATCCCAGTACTTTGGGAGGCTGAGGCAGACAGATCACTTGAGGCCAGGAGTTCAAGACCAGCCTGTCCAACATGGTGAAACCCCGTCTCTACTAAAAAATACAAAAATTAGCTGGGTGTGGTGGCATGTGCCTGTAATCCCAGCTCCTCAGGAGGCTGAGGCACAAGAATTGCTTGAACCTGGGAGGCAGAGGTTGCAATGAGAGGAGATTGTGCCGCTGCAGTCCAACCTGGGCCACAAAAAAAAAAAAACCTCCACCTCAAAAAAAAAAAAAAAAAAAGATTTTTCTCTTTGGGCACTCCTTTTCAATATATTCAACGTAAATGGATTAATGATACCATTTTTACTAGGTGAGTGTGTTTGGGCAAGTTGCTTCAGTGCTCATTCTCGTTTTCCTTTTTTTTTTTTTTTTTTTTTTTTGAGGCAGGGTCTTTGTCATCTAAGCAGGAGAGCAGTGGACTGATCATAGCTCACTGTAGTCTTCAACACCTGGCCTCAAGAGATCCTCCTGTTTCAGTCTCCCAAATAGCTGGGATTACTGGCATGCATCACCATGTCTTACTAATTTAATTTTTTTTTTTTTTGTAAGGACATGGTGTTGCTATGTTGCCGAGCTGGTCTTGAACTACTAGGCTCAAGCAATCCTCCCACCTTGGCCTTCCAAAGTGTTGAGATTATAGGTATGAGCCCTGGTGGCTGTCTGTCTTTTGGTTTCCTAATCTGTAAAACTGAGGATAATAACAGTACCCTTACAAAGTTGTGGGAGAATGAAGTTAGTTAATACAAGTGAAGTGCTAAAAAAAAAAGCGCTTTGGAAAACAGCAAGTATTTGTTAGCTATGGCTATTGTTATCAACACATTTTTCAAGGCAAACTCGTGGTTACACCTATCACCTGAGGTTTATGACTTCGAAGTCCATCTTCTCTCTCTTTTTAAAAAATAATTAAGGAAATATTATTATTTTTTGAGACAGAGTCTGCTCTGCTGCCCATGCTGGAGTGCACTGGCACGATATCAGCTCACTGCAACCTCTACCTCCTAGGTGCAAGCAATTCTGGTGCGTCAGCCATCCAAGCTGGGATTACAGCTGTGTGCCACCATGCCCAGCTAATTTTTGCATTTTTAGTAGAGATGGGGTTTCACCATGTTGGCCAGGCTGGTCTTGAACTCCTGGCCTCAAGTAATCTGCCCAACTGGGCCTCCCAAGTGCTAGGATTACAGGCATGAGCCACTGCACCTGGTCCTCTTTTTGTTTTAGAGACAAGAATCTCATTCTTTTCTAGAGGTGGGATGCAAAGGCATGAACATAACTAATTGCAGTGTGCAACTCCTGGGCTAAAGCGATTTTTTCCTCTGCCTTTGGAGTAGTTGGGCCTCAGAACGGTGCTGAGACTTCTGGCTTCCATCAGGATCTTTGTCCTACCATTTCATCTTCTTACTAGACTATCTCCACATAGATCTATAAATGGCACCTCAAGTGAAAGAAATCAACTACCTAAAATAGGATATGCCACTCCAAACTTGTTTTTCTTTACGTGTCATTTCTGTTAATGTGGGTCACACACATGGGTAAACTCAGAATTATCTTTTTATTTTCTTTTATTCACATCCAATATGGTTGAAATAAAACAAAAGGAAATGCTGTTTTTTCTTTTTTAGAAAGGCAATATTTGTTCATTATATAAAATTTAGAAAATATGGAAAGGATAAAAAATTATCCACAAACAAAACTGCCCAAATTTCCAGTTAAAAATGTCAGTGTATTTTATATTTGCCCATGTAATTAAGGCTATACTGTTTAAACAAATGCTTTTAAAATCTAAAAGATTCTCACTATTAAAAACCTTTTGTTAAGTCTTTGTCTCAAAAAAAAAAAAAAAAAAAAAGAGTCTTGCTCTGTTACCAGGCTGGAGTGCAGTGAGGTGATCTCAGCTCACTGCAATCCCTGCCACCCGAGTTCAAGCGATTCTCCTACTTCAGCTTCCTGAGTATCTGGGACTACAGGTGTACGCCACTACACCCAGCTAATTTTTGTATATTTAGTAAAGATGGGGTTTCACCATGTTGGCCAGGATGGTCTTGATCTTGACCTCGGGATCCGCCCTCCTCGGCCTCCCAAAGTGCTGGGATTACAGGCGTGAGCCACTGTGCCAGGCCAAGTCTTGTTTTAAAAGTAAGATTTTAACATCCAAATTCCCAAAATAAGACATTTTTGAAGATTTGTTAAATACTGATGGCTCAACATCTTGATATTATTACTGTTAAATTTTGGTATCTCCTGTTATTCTGCTAGTGAAATATATATAGATCTGGTGGACTATTCCTTTTTTTTTTTTTTTGAGACAAGGGTCAAACTCTGGTGCCCATGATGGAATGCAGTGGCGCTATCATAGTTAATTGTAAACTGGAACTCTTGGCCTCGAGCCTCCCAAAGTGCTGGGGCTACAGGTTTGAGCCACTGTGCCGGGCAAATGGCTATTACTATAGACACAGTTGATCCTTAAATAACATGGTTTGAACTGCCTGGGTCCACTTATAAGCCGACTTAAAATACAGTATTCGAGAGGCCCGCGTTTAGAGAGTACCCTCTCTAAGAGTTCTGCAGGACCGAGTGCGGGATTTGAGAATGCGCGGATTTTTGTTTTGTTTTTAGATGAAGTTTTACTCTCGCCCAGGCTGGAGTGCAGTGGCGCAATCTCAGCTCACTGCAACTTCCGCCTCCCACGTTCAGGCGATTCTCCTGCCTCAGCCTCCGGTGTAGCTGGGATTACAGGCGCCCGCCACTACACCCAGGTAATTTTTTGTATTTTTTATTTTTTGAGACAGAGTTTCGTTCTTATTGCCCAGGCCGGAGTGCAATGGTGTGATCTCGGCTCACTGCAACCTCTGCCTTTCGGGTTCAAGCCATTCTCCTGCCTCAGCCTCCCGAATAACGGGATTGCAGGCGCCCGCCAAATTTTTTTTATTTTTTATTTTTAGTAGAGACGGTGTTTCGCCATATTGGCTAGGCTGGTCGCGAACTCCCGACCTCAGGTGATCCGCCCGCCTAGGCCTCCCAAAGTGCTGGGCTTACAGGCTTGAGCCACAGCGCCCGGAAGAATGCGTGGATTTTGGTATAAGCAGGTGGTTCCGGAACCAATCCTCTGCCGACGGATGTGTTTAAAAAACTGTAATTGTTCAAAATTTAGTATTTGTGGTCTACTTTTTCATATATGCACTTTAAAATTTATTATTTCTTTTAAAAGGTATTAATTTAAAAATGTATGCTTCGTATTCACACACATGTCCAACGCAACGTATTTAACCAGTCATCTCCAGAAACGTTGTTCCACTTTACAAGCTCACAAAATCGGCCGCAGTGCTTTTTTCTTCCAATGCATAGAGCATTTATAATTTAAAACAAGCAACCAAAAGGCTTAAGAGCTCAGCACGCAAACTTTTATCTGTTGGAAACCTACTACCTTAGCGTGATGGACGCTGGCGCCGGCTACCCAAGACCAGGCTCCGCGACCAGGAAGTTGCCAGGAGCTCCGCTATGTGCGGCGCGAGCGCCGACGTCGCCAACGTGGCGCACAGTGCTGACGCATACGCAAGTGCGTTAGACTGGTCCTCCGCCGGCGACGGCACTGCGTCACTGGCTTGAAGGCGCTTTGCTCTTGGAACTGGCGACCGTTGCGGGGTTGAGTGTTTGACTCCCGCGCCTCGGAAGCCAGCTTGGCGGCGCGATGAGGCGCAGCAAGGCCGACGTGGAGCGGTACATCGCCTCGGTCCAGGGCTCTGCCCCGTCGCCTCGAGAGGTGAGTGGGTCTCGAAGAAACCTACTGTCTCGACCTGGCCCGGCTGCGGCCTCCCGCGGCTCGGGCGTCATGGCTCCTGACAAGCACTGCTCCGTGGCGCGCTCTCTTGAGGCGCTGGCCGGCCAGCGCGGCCCTGTGGGCGGCGTGGCGCTGGCGAGTGCAGAGGAGTCCTGGCTGGGCCGCGGCGGGCCGGCGCTTCCTCTTTCTTCCGGCCTGTTCCGGACGGTCCTCGCTCGTGGGCCCACCCTGGCCCTGGCTTTCTGGCCGGTCGCGCACCGCTGGGACCGGCGCGGCCTAGTTCTCTGGGGCTTGGGCACCAAAGTCTCGGATGCTGTATCCGGCGGGGTTCTTTCCATCTCCCGGACATTTACTTTACATGCTGCGGCGGAGGTCGTACCTCCTTGGCCTGGTGGAACCCAGTGAGGACTGACGCAGCTCCGGGGTGAGCTTTGGCGACTCTGACGGGTGACATCTCAACGCAGACATTTGCCACGGCTCGACAGCGCAAATGATACGGGAAGTCCCCTTGCTTTAAGGCTGAGGTGTTTGTCGCTGTCCCTTTATAAGGGTCTAGCTCCACTCTTCATACTCACCCCTGTCCCCCGAACCCAGAACACTTCGGTAGCTGCTTTTGTGTTTTGTTTAAAAAAAAAAAAAAATTCTAGATTTCTTGCAAATTTATGCCTTAGAATTTTTAACTTTTTCCACAGATGTTCTTAGGGTATTTTTCCTTTTTAAAGGTAAATAATATGATATCTTTTGGATTCAGTAAGACTTTAGTATTTGGATGTAAAGAGTGATGGAAGAAGCTATTTAAAGGTGAATGTGCACAGAATCTTGAGTCAGTTTGCTTTGGCTTGATGAATAACCACAGCGCTGTCTTTTGTAAGTTGGATATTTGGTACAGGTTACACTATTCATCCATAGATGGAGTTGTAACTGATAGAATTTGATAGGGTGATCCATTTTAAACATTTAGGGTTGTGTGTGCTGGACACATAGTATTAAAATGTTAGCTGCAAGTCACTATTTTTATTGTTGATGTCGAAAGGATTTAGCGGGGCGTGGTGGCTCACATCTGTAATCCCACCACTTTGGGAGGCCGAGGCAGGCAGATCACCTAAGGTTAGGAGTTCGAGACCAGCCTGGCTGACATGGTGAAACCCCGTCTCTACTAAAAATACAAAATTAGCCGGGTGTAGTGATACACGCTTGTAATCCCAGTTAGGAGGCTGAGGCAGGAGAATCTCTTGAACCCAGGAGGCGGGGGTTGCAGTAGCTGAGATCTGGCCTTTGCACTCTGGCCTGGGCGCAAGAGCGAAACTCCATCTCAAAAAGTAAATAAATAAAAGGATATTTATTCAAAGTCTCTACTGTGCAAGGGCCTAGGAGAATAAAGATCTGTAAGGAAGTTTTTTTTAAAAAAGAACGGCTTGCGGGCGGGCCCGGTGGCGTATGCTTGTAATCCCAGCACTTTGGGAGGCCTACCGGCGGATTGCCTGAGGTCAGGAGTTTGGGACCAGCCTGGCTAACATGGTGGTCCCAACTCTGTCTCGACTAAAAATAAAATTAGTCAGGCGTGGTGCACGCCTGTAGTCCGATCTACTCAGGAGGCTGAGGCAGGAGAATCGAGGCGGAGGGAGACTCCGTTAAACAAACGTAATGGAAAGCCCTGGGTGATCCTGATTATTATAGTAGCACAGTTGTGTCTTTTATAATAACTAAGCATAGATTACCTTATTTTGCACTTCAGCAACCCTGTGGAAATTGAGACCTGTAGAGATTAAAGATACTTGAACCCTGTGGATATTGAGAACTGTGGAGATTAAAGATACTTGTTCAGGGTCAAATAGGTAGCGCAGCAGAATTTTGGCATTGGGTCCTGGGAACACTGAAGTAAGTTACAGTCTATTCCTCCAGAGAAGAGGACTATCTATTCCTACTTGTACATTGTAATTTCAAACTGCTAGCATAGTCATAAATGTGGACATAGTGATAGAGTCTAAAACAGACCTTATTGAGGGTACCTGTAACTCCTGAAATTACACTTTAATTTTTACGTTATTTTTTTTTTTTTGAGATGGGATCGATCTCTTGTCATTTGCTGGATGCAGTGGTGCTATCTCGGCTTACTGCAATGTCCGCCTCCCGAACTCAAGCCATCCTTCTACCTCAGTCTCCTGAGTAGTTGGTACCACAAGTGCACCCATGACACCTGCTATTTATTTATTTTTTGCATTTTTGGTAGAAACTGGGTTTCACCATGTTGCCCAGGCTGTTCTTGAACTCCAGGGCTCACATGATTCCCCTGCTTCCACCTCCCAAAGTGTTGGGATTACAGGCGTGAGCCACTGCACAGGGCATTAATAATAATAATAATTATTATTATTTTGAGACAAGGTCTTTTTTTGTCTCCCAGGCTGGAGTGCTGTGGCGGGATCATGACTCACTGCAGGATTGACCTCCTGGGCTCTGTCCATCCTCCCACATTAGCCTCCCAGGTAGCTGAGACTACAGGCATGTCAGCTACAGGCATGTGCAACCATGCCTGGCTAACTTTTTTCTTTTTTTTTTGAGATGGAGTCTCGCTCTGTTGGCCAGGCTGGAGTGCAGTGGTGTGATCTTCGCTCGCTGCAACCTCCGCTTCCTGATTTCAAGCAGTTCTCCAGCCTCTGCTTCCCGAGTAGCTGGGATTACAGGTGCACACCACCATGCCCAACTGATTTTTGTTATTTTTAGTAGAGATGGGGTTTCACCGTGTTGGTCAGGCTGGTCTTGAATTCCTGATCTTGTGATCTGCCTGCCTTGGCCTCACAAAATGCTGGGATTACAGGTGTGAGACACTTTGCCCACTCTGATTTTTTTTAATGCAAGCTTAAAAAATAAAAAAGCAAGCTTAGAACCTTTCCGAGATTCTTAGTGGGGACGTTGACTTCCAAAAGATTAAAAACCACTGGTTTAAACAGAAGTTAGAGTGTTCTTTCAACTACATTAACTTTTCCATTAAAGTGGAGTGGTGACAGAATTTTGGGAATTAGTTACTATGACCAGCTCTCTCTTACACTTAAAGAGTATTTTTTTTCCCAAACAAATTGAAATGGATTTTAGTGGAATATGGATTAGCTAGTGAGTAACTTTTCAACATGTGAAGCTATTCCATAAAGTTAGGTTCGAGTGAAATGATGAAACAGGGTGCTTTGGATAGAAGGTAAAGAATGGAGTGGGAAGAGGCAGTGGCTGGGAAGACTATAAAGAGGTTAGTATTCTCCCCCAGTTTGGCAGAGGCTGGCTATCTGTGAACTGACTATGCTTTCTAGGATGTCTTCGTTCTGAAGTGTTGATGTGTCTGTATATCATATCTTTCTGGTCTTCCATTGTCCTTTCATTTCATCTCCTCTTTGTTTTGCCATTTTTCTACTCCCTCACATATGCTTTTGCCCTTGTTAAAAATACTTTTTGCCTGTAATCTGAGCACTTTGGGAGGCTGAGGTGGGTAGATCACCTGAGGTCCGGAGTTCGAGACCAGCCTGATCAATATGGTGAAATCCCGTCTCTACTAAAAATACAAAAATTAGCCAGGCGTAGTGACATGCACCTGCAGTCCCAGCTACTCGGGAGGCTGAGACAGGAGGATTGCTTGAACCCTGGAGGTGGAGGTTGCAGTGAGTGGAAATGTGCCACAGCACTTGAACTTCAGCCTGTGTGACAGAGTGAGACTTGTCTGGGGAAAAAAAACTTCTTTCTCTAGTTTTTCTTTTTCCAGATGGTTTCTGTTTAGTTTTTCCAGGTTCTGTCAGGTTAGCTTCTCATTCTGCAACTGATTCCTACTCCCCAGAGGCTATTTATTTATTTATTTATTTTTTGGGCTTAGTGATCGTCCTACCTCTGTTTCCTGAATACTTGGGTCTACAGGCAGGCACCTTTGACAGCTCTTAGCTTTTTTTTCTGCCCTTGATATCTATACTTCATGCTTCTGAGTCACACACATACATATTTTTGTTATTTTTAATTCCCTGTCTACCATTTTAGACAGTTTCTACTGGCTTTTTACTGTGCTCCTCCAAAACTGTCCTTAGACACTTTGGTTCGCCCCTTATTCTTTCAGTACTGTTATTGCAGTTTTTGTTAAAATGAATATTTAACATTTATGTAAATACCATAAGGTAAATATTTTTGTATTTGAATTGCCCTTATTGTGCAGTTTTGTTTTTCCTGGACTGAATAATTGCTTTAGTTTTTGGTTTGCTTATGTTGTGTTACTGCTTGTTTACTTAAACTCACCAATTTAAACCCTCAAATGTGGTCAAACTGGTCACATAATGCCATCAATTTCAGCTTAAAACATTCATCCATCCATTCATTCATTCATTCATTCATTCATTCATTCATTTATGTATGTATATTTTGAGACGGAGTCTCACTCTGTTGCCCAGGCTGGAGTGCAGCGGCACAGTCTTGGCTCACTGCAACCTCTGCCTCCTGGGTTCAGGTGATTCTCTTGCCTCACCCTCCCGAGTAGCTGGAATTACAGGTGTCTGCCACCATGCCTGGCTAATTTTTTGTATTTTTAGTAGAAATGGGGTTTCAATATGTTGGCCAGGCTGGTTTTGGAAAATAATGGTATGCCTGCAAAAAACATCTTTACTTAGTTTGGTTGATAGATTGGTTATCAAATTCTGAGTTTGAAATAATTTTTTTCTCAATTTTGAGAGCACTGTTCCATTTTCTAGAAGTTCTGTTGTTAGAAGTCTGATGACATTCTTGTTCTTGGTAACTAAAGATTTTCTGGAAGTGTCCTTTCAATTGGAAAACTCATTTCTTTCAGTTCTATAACATTTCTTGTATTATTTCTTTGACCCTTTCTTTTTTTTTTTTTTCCTGATATTTACCTGAAAGTTGGAGTTTCTCATTTGGTTCTCTAATTTTTCTCTTTCTTTTCCTCTTCTTTTGTTTGTTCGGTTTTTTTGAGAGATTTTTTTACCTTTATGTTCTAGGGGAAG